TTATTATCGAATTTCATCTAGAAAGGAGGCAATTTCGGCAACGAGCTTCTGTGAAATACTGCCTCGAACGCAAATGAGAAATTCCTTTTAACCTTGGATATAACGCTTGAAGCATATCGCAGTCCGACGACCAGAACACCTTCATCCCGTGAGATGCGAAGGTATCACTAAAAAGGAATCGATGTTCTTATGGTGCACGAATATTGTTCAATTGTTTTTCTGTTCAGCGAAAGGTGAAATCCTTATAGAGCACTCCATTCAACTCTTAACCTCCAGAAATGAGCAGTTGAGGAAAATTCGCACTCTACTTCAACGTCACCATCCGTTTTTATGGATAAGTCGACTTCAAATGAAAGAAGTATGAAATCCCTTTGCTTTTAGATCTTTAAAGATGATGCAACTCAAAAGAGCTAAAACAACCAACGATGCTCCATATCACGAAGACCAATGAATGTGGTAGCGTCGAACTCTTCTAGCTGGGTTGGAGCGTTCCGATTTGGAATTAAAATAATTATATTACCGATTCTATTAGCATTAGGGTTTACAAGTAGTGTTGAGATTCCTAATTATTACACTAGTAACTGAATAATATGCATAAAATTCCTCTCCATGGCCCAGTTCTTCATATGCGCGAAATTTTTCGAAGTGTTATATTTTAAGGAATGAAAAGATGAAGGATAAAGCTCTTGGGATTGATCAATCCCTGAGGGATGCGCCATACATTCGACCTCATTAAGCATAGTTTGGAGGTGATTGAATGCATATATCATGTGGCCTTTACAATGACTCGCGGCGGTCTACTGATTTATCGAGCCAGTGCTGCTATCCTCCCAGATAAGCGTGGTACCAACTTGCTGACACCGGAAGTATGAAAAGCTTGGTGGGCCATGGGCGCGGGGATCGATTCGATGTGTGTGCCGCAGTGGCGCTTCGAACCACTGCGCCACATGCACGATACACGTAAATCAATGCAAAATTCAAAAAACAATTTATAGCACAGAGAAAAACAGCTGTATGTAGTGTAGCGAAATACTCACCTTAACCAATTTCATGATATGCACCCGGCGCGTAGCACTATCGTTGCGCTTCAAGCGCTTCCTATTCTGCTCGCGTGACTATTTCTAAAAACGAAAAATTATGCAAGAGCTTTGATTTTCATTAATGACTTCTAAATCAGAACAAGTCTAAATAACTGTGCTAACTTCTGTTTATAATCATTGAGGTCCTTGGCCATTTTGTAAATAATGACCTAAATTCCTTACGCATTTAGCACCACTTTCACATTGCACCGTTCAGAATTAAACAAGCATGCATCACCTCGTCGTGAACTCCATTCGTATGGGGCAACAGGGTCGTTGACGTACAAGACCGTTTTTTTTTTGTGCAACAACTACTATTTTTGCAGCATTAAAAGACGCATTCCTTTTAGAAACTATTAAAACTTAACAATGAATGAAATGAAAAACAGAGCTTAGCTTACGATGAGGCCAGATTAAAATTCGACAAAAAGAGATTTATAGACTCCAAACCACGGGTCTGCCTCATATGTGGGATCTCGAGCCAGTTAGTGGCGAAGCTACGTGGCGCGTCCCCAGGTGGCGGTTAATCGCGAACCATAGCGACCTTCGCTTCCGTGAAAAGCAGGTGGATCCAGGAGATGGACTCCCTGTTTCTGCTGCGCTGATTTGGCACACACTTTCTGTATTTGTTAGGCGTATTCATGCATGCGTGTGTGGGTGCGTTCTTGCTTATGCGAATTGCATTTTACGAGTTAATTCGGCCAAAAGACTGCAATTAAGTGACTGGAAAGTATGTGGGAGGCGGTTAGGAGTCGCCTCCACCACACTCCAGGCCCCCTGGGAGCCTGGCAAGCTACTCGTGAGTATATCCAACCCCACGCTCAGAGCCCAGCAAGCTATAAGTGGGTATCAAAAATGCTATACACAGTAAAAAAAAACGGGCCTCATTCCACTGAGCTCGAAAGAGACCGCAATTTCGCAGTGTTGGGTAGTACGAGTACGGAGAGGCTGCTAAAATCTCAGAGCAAATGGAAGCTGTCTGGATTGCAAAAAACTAAGGTGATGGTCTGTACCTGCAATGCACGTACACTTACACCGGAGTCTTCTATAGAAGACTTCGTCATGCAAGTGAAAAAGATAAGGTACGACGTCATCGGCCTGGCCCAGACGAGACGACGCCACCAGAGGAGTCGGCGGCGTCGGCGTTTCGTCAACACGACTTTGTCCATGAACGTCGATTTATTTGAACAAATTACAACCCCAATCGGACGTTTACGATTGAGGAGATGTGGACTAATAACAGCTTTAACAATCTTCGTCGTTTACGCATCGAGATCAAAATAAGACGAAGAAAAAATTCAAGCGTTCTATATGGACTTGGAGAAGCTCTACAGAGAAGACCACACACTCTTCAAAGTCATCATTGGAGGTTTCAACACCAAGATTGGACTAAGAAGAACGTCTGAAGAACGTCACATTGAGACCCACGGATTAGAATGGAACGAACAGGGTGAGCGGCTATCTGAGTTTATCATGGCGAACAAGACAATCCATGGCAACTCGCAGTTCCGGAAGCCCCACCCTCAGCGCAGGACGTGGGTGTCTCTCAATGGAGAGTACCGTAACGAAATAGACTACATAATAGTAAATAGAAGGTCTTGCCTAACAGATGTCACTGTTGTCCCAAAATTCTGCACGGAATCAGACCGCCAACTCCTTCGTGAAAGATTCTATTTCTCGCGGAAAGGAGAAGAAGCCGCCAAATTCCAAAACAGAAATCCCAGAAACACCGCAAACTGGGATTTCTTCAAGTCATTAGTCGGCTGTTGGGAAGATGCCGTTATCGATAACATCGACGAGGAACACCATGGGCTCATTCAATATCTTCACGCTAGCACCCAGAAATACTCGAGCTGATACACTAGCGTGGAATCGCACGAGCTGTAGGCAGGCGTGTGGTTGTCTAATAAGGTGACTGTCGTCTACAAAATTTTCACTCGAGTCATCCTAAACAGGACTGACAGAACACTAGACGAAGGACAGCCATGTGAGCAAGCAAGGTTTCGAAAAGATTCAGAACGACAGACCACACCCGAACGATAACACAGCTCATTGAAGTATCGCGAAAGAACAAAAGGCCTCTCTGTCTCACTTTCATCGATTTACAGAAGGCCTTTAAATCAGTTGAGATAGAAGCAGTCTTGGAAGCCCTTGATAGTCAAGAGTCCCTACTGAGTACAAAAAGATTCTTCGTGAGCTGTACAAAAATTTCACAACCAAGATATCAACATTCTGCAACGATATTGACATTGAGGTCAAAAGAGGAGTTAGGTAAGGCGATACCATCTCGGCAAAATTATTTACCGCCACCCTCCAGAACGTTATGCAAACATTGGAATGGGATAATATGGGAGTGAAAATCGACGGTCGGCAGTTACACCATCTTCGCTTTACTGATGACATCGTCCTTACAACACCAAACATTAGCCAAGCGGATCGTATGCTTGCCGACTTTGATAAAGCCTGTGGAAAGATTGGTTTTCGACTAAATCTCCCAAAAACGGTGTTCATGAAGAACGGATTGGTTTCGCATGCCTCATTCACGCTCAACGGAACGAATATCTCCGAATGCTACAGTTATGTTTACTAAGTCGGGAAATCAATATGATGAACGACCTAGCTCCAGAGCTGAGCAGAAGAAGACGAGCGGATTGGGGAGCTTTCAAGAGCATCGAGGAAGTAGTGAAGAGAACGAGAAACATCCGACTCCGTGCCCAACTTTTCGACTCAACAGTACATCCTGCCCTAACGTATGCGTTAAAAACCTGGTCGCTGCGTAAGCAAGATAAAAGATCACTCAGCGTTATCGAACGCGCAGTCGAAAGGACGATGCTGAGAGTATCCCGTTTCAAACTAGCAAGAGATGGGATCCGAAGCTCCGACCTGCGTCAACGATCAAAAATCAAAGATGCCGTCCTGTAGGCCAAACAGTAGAAGATAAGGTGAGCCGGGAACGTAATGCGTATGAATGACAACCGATGGACAAGAGCCGTTAGTGACCGAATTTTTCGGGATGTTAAACGCACTGCAGGAAGGCCACCGATTCGATGGTCAGAGTTCTTCACGAAAAGCCTAGAGGAAAGATATGATGCTCGACAAGTTCCTAAAGCGAGCAGAACCCAGTGAGCTACCCTTGCACGCGACAGGAAAAAATGGAAGATTTACTGGCGCCCGCTCGAGTCACTCAACGATCAACAGGACTACAGGTGGCACAAGTGATAGGCTCCAAAATGAGGATGGCTTCTTCACAGCGTAGGAAATCTAACAATTAAACTTTCCAGACAAATTTCTAATTCTACATACTCTAGATTTTGAAAAACCACCATGGTAGACCTAACGACAGAGAAGTGCTAGTCTAAAACGGCCATCTTATCCAAGGTGACACGAAGGCAGAAGCAAAAGGGTAAAGGATAAGGCTCTCGGCGCTGATCGATTCCTGAGGGAAGCGCCACACATTCGATTTCATCAAACATCGTTAGAAATGATTCAATGCATATATGACCGATTATTACGATTATTTCAATTTAATGGTCTAGAATAGAAACGCATGTAGCGCAGAGGACGGAGGGGCTCTGCAATACACATGGGATCGATCGCTGCGTCTCAAGCCCACCAAGCCCTCCATCACTCTGGGGTCTGCGAATTGGTACCACATTTTGTGTAGAAGAACAGCAGCATTGAACTGATACATCGGGAAGCCACCATGAGTTATTGTAAAGGTAGGATGCGCATTCAATCATCTTCAACGATGTTTAATGAAGTCGAATTCGTGGCGTATACCTCAAGGATTGATCAAAGCAGAGAGCTTTTTAATGGTGTAAGATAGAGAGCAACTACTTGTCCCTCGACGTGCGAAAGTGGGCTAATTTCGGTTTGTCAGACTTGGCCCAACAGCCCAGTACTGCACAAGTTCACTCACTTCTACAAAAGCTGTACTGTCACCAAGCTAGTGAAACTATTTGATTATTGCGTTTTGTTTCAAAAACAAGTAAACTTAGAGTGGAAGAAACTAACGTTGCAAATAATAAAGTCGAAGCAGTCCCAAAAGTGAATCGACGGATTCCATTAAACTTGGGAACAGATCGCGCAAATCTGCTTCGCGTCACAGACAGCTCGCGCGCGGTCACGAAGCGGCTATGCCGCGCACGACGGTAGTTTGAACCAGTGCATTTGCTATCTTATTGAAACATTGTAGATGCAATGGGCGCGTGTAGCGCAGTGGTGGGAGGTGTCCTGCGATGCACATGGGATTGACCCGCGCGCCCATGGCTCACTTAGCCCTCCATCGCTCCGGTGTAGGCAAATTGGTACCGGAATTATCTGGGAGGATGACAATACATGAGTAGGCCACAGGTAGTCATTGGGAAGGCGAGAAATGCATTCAATCACCTCCAGCAATGTTTAATGAAGACGAATACATGGTGCATCTCTCAGGGATTGATTAACACTGAGAGCTTTATCCTTCTAGCTTTCATTGATTCACTATATACATTCTAGATAGGTCTTGGTTGTTATGCCATGGAGAAGTACATATGGTAGTGGTCTTATGATTCTGACCGAAGTAATCACATTGTTGTTTGAGTGGGGTAAATACAGCAATATTTTTATGAACCGACTTTCATTTAGCGTTGACGATGCCCAATACTTTTCCCTATTAATTCGCTTGCATAAGGTAGACATAAAGTGCCTACTGTAGCTAACGTTTTGGCTCGTTGGTCTTCCCCACAGCCGCAATTATTTCAATCCGGTATCCACAGTGATTTTACTAACGCTCTGCCATCTCATGCAAAGAACGGAATAAATAGCAGTAGTGATTTTTGTAACTGTTTTACATATTCTTCAGGTTCTCATTGGAAACAGTACCGTCTATTTGTATTAATGACACGTCTTTCTAAGATACTGATTTCTTTGTTTATCGCCACAAGTTCGTAACCGCTTTAATTCGATTGACCCAGATATGGCAGGAACTGAAGGATTTGAGCAAGCCTTCGATAAAATCTGACTGATTACTGAAATGATGACGCTTTTGAAGATTTCACCAAGAAGAATCATGTCCTCAGTTGAGTGAAAAATGTGCCGAGTTTTCGTTTCCGACCTCTTTATTATTTGTTATCACCGTTTTTCCGTTTTTCATGGTAGTCTTGCGCATCGTCGATTGAAGTTTCTAAACTTAGAGTTGCCTTCGATTAAGAAGCGTCCCAGAATAACTATGAAGAAAGTGGAATGCGGAGAAAGATGTGCCACGTTGACTTTAACGGAACTAGTATGCATGTAAATCCCTCCTTCCTATAGTTACTACGAACGTTCCCTTTCCGTAGATTAAGTAAACGACCCTCCTATCAAGTATTCACCCAATGTTTTGTATGTGCATGAGGAATCTTTTGCGACTATCGCCGCCTATCTCAGTCGGGTCCATGACACAATACATCTTTGTGTAGATTAATACAACCGCGACTTTTATCACTTTTACTGTTACTATGTTGTGTTGCAGTAGTACTGTGCTTTGCTGTTATATCTCGCGTGTTATTCCGAAATAGTTGAGACAATAAAGTTTAGAGGGAAGATTGAAGAAGAAACTAGAGAAGAGATTAAAAAATGTGGAGTTGACATGTGGATGGTAAAATTTATAACGGCACGGTAGCCAGTGTCCTCTACAGATGCACCGCAGGAATTGCCCATAACCCGCGATTCACTAGCACTACACCTGCTTGTCAGTGTTTTTGGCGAATGTTTCTTGAACAGAACAGAAGAAGGTTTTGAGACCAATGGTGGGATTAAGCATTTGAACACTCCTGCTGACGTGTCGTAGTTTTGGCGTACTTTTGTTGACGACGACCATTGCGGCGCTTGCTGTGAAGTGTTGGCTGTGTCCACTTCTGCTGAATCGCCAGTTTAGCTGATTTCCGAACGAATGACGCCTACGTTACCTTAGCCTACCACATGACTTGTTAACAATAAAATTCGTATCTGGTTAACACGTATAATGTTTGCTCATGAATAAGCACCAGAAAGGCAAAAAGCGCTCGGAATTCCATACGTGAGTGACATTTCTATAATTGTTACTGCTGTATTCCTACAGTTTATTTTCCTTTTTCTGTTGCATGTAAGAATTGATCCCAGGTTTATTTGGAGTTTACAAAATAATTGTTTTCATACACCTCTATGTTGAGCCTTCATCTAGTTTTCCTTCATATTTTGATGGATAAGACAACGCACACAGTGGTTGGTGGTTTAAATCTCCGCATGAGCTTTCGGGAGGGAAGCCGATTCCCAAAAAAAGCTACCATCTGTGATGATCACCTGCGAACGCTGTGGTGCTGTTATCTCTTGATTTTGGTGCAAATCACGCTCCATAAGCAATTATTTAGGTATGTCAATGAGGACAGGACACTCCAGGTTGAATGCGCTACAAGAAAAAAAATGAAGAACGTCCTTTCCACAAATCGCTTCAGGATGCATCGCTATAGAGATATCCAGTATTACTCCCTCTTTTCACCAACGAAAGGCACGCGTGGCGTCGTGGTCGGAGGAGCCCTGCAACCCACACGTGGAATTGACCCCCGCGCCCATGGCCCACCGAGCCTTCCAACCTTCCGAAGTCAGCTGATTGGTACCAGACTTGTCAGAGAGGGTAGCAGCACTGGCTCGATATTTCGGCAGGCCACCACGGATCATTGTAAAGGCCAGATATGCATTCAATCACCTCCAAACGATGCTTAATGAAGTCGATGCATGGTACAATTCTCACGGGTTGATCAACGCCGAGAGCTTTATCGTTTATCCTTCTTGTCACGGATGAAGCCGACTATTTAGTGATGCAGTACTTGTGCTGTAACAAAAACGACGCGGTTTTGACT